CCCCCCCCCCCCCGCGCACTCGTCCCGCCTGCCGCTACGCTCAAGTCGCTTCCTCCCGCTTGTTCCGGACCCACGCAGGCCTCGGTGGGGGTCTGAGTAATGGGGGTCTTCTTCCTTCACTCTGGGAGGTTTTACATTAATAGCAGCCTCCTGCAAACGTTCTGCCCGGCAGGCTGTGCACACGCATGGAGATGAGAACTGGGTGTGCATCCTGTTCCTCACACCGGCTTGGAACCTGGTTACAGCTTCCTCTCTTCGGTGCCTGTTTCCTTATAGGGAATAATAATGGAATCTGCTGTGTGCTTACTGTGAGACAGGTATTCACGCTAAATCATTTTTTTAAGGCCAAATTAGAAGCAGAGTGTGGTGCATCCCAGCACTTAGGAGGCTGAGGCAGGAGGATCACAAATTTGAGGCCAGCCTGGACTACAAAGTGAGCTCAAGACCAGCCTGAGCTACACAGCAAGACCCTGGCTCAAAATTAATTGATTAATTAATTAAAACATTGCACGCTTTCCCTTACAAGAAACCCAAATTATAAACAAAGTGCAAAATAAAAGATATAGAAAGGGAATGAGGGAGATACATCTTAAAAGGAAGGGGATCAAGAGACGGAAGGAAGAGGGAGGGCAGCACATGAGGTGAAGAAAGCAATGAAGATGTGCCGTACACACCTCCACGCAGGGACGGTAAACATTGTGCACTGCAAACAGGGACCAAATAAAAACTTTTTAAAATAGAGTTAAAATGCTAACCAAATGGATTAAAATATAACACCCGTCTTGAAAGTTTGGCCACGGGTATTAACTGAAAGAAGTTCTGTGAGGTCCTTGTCAGTACCTGGAACAGCAGGTACCTAACAAAACTCATAGCGGTAGTTAACATTTATTAAATCGGGTATTAATATGAACTAACGCATTCGCTGAGGGATTTTCCCCCCATGTTCTCGCGACAACTCTAAGAACTAGGAAATGGACATTGAGGGAGGAAGGACGTGATTTAGAAGCGTTTCTGAGGGCAGGGCTAACACGCATGCGTCGAGGATCTGCCCAGCACCCGCAGTCCCCACTTCCGGCTTCCTTCCTGCGCTGCTGACCCGGTCACATCAGAGCTGGCCAACACAGAAGGAAGAACGGAAACGGACAAGCCTGACCTAATTCCCCATGGCCCAAGCCACAGGGTCCAAAGCCAAGCAACTGTACAACACATTCCTCAGTGAATCCGATGGCACCGATTTTTAAGAAGCGAGCCATGTGCGTAATACATACTTCATTACTGTAACAAACAAACCAGTTTCGCATGCCCAGTCTGCCCTCTGGTGCACCCAGACCTCCTAGCAGGCGAAAGGCATCGATGTTATCTGGATTATTTCTTTGGAAAATTGTTTCACTCCCTCTACAACCCAGAAACCAGTGAGAGAGGCAGCCCTAAACTGTGGTAATCCCTGACATTCCTCAGCACACTGCTTCTAGGCTATAGTTACCCATAAATGCGTATGAAACTTAAACACAAAGACAAATCACAACTATTTGGAACAGTTGGAGATTGTTAGGTAAGGACATTGACTTAATATTGCAGTAACCACAACAGAGGTCATAGCAAGCAAGGCAAGAGTCAGCTCAGGACTGCTCGGTGGGCAGATGACCAACAAATGATCCTCAATACTGGAATGATTAACCCCATGTTATGGGTCAAAAACAGTGAAATTTAATGGTGAGTTGCCAACAGATTCCTGTGTGACGTCTGAGTCGATCACCTAAACATTCAGGATCTTGGTTTCCTCGTCTGTGTAATAAGGTTACCCAGGAGCCTCGGTAACAGGCTGTCCAGAACGGTCCCCGCCTCCTTCCAAGGCCCCATGGGCCACCGTAGGTCAGACGTCTGAGATCCTAGAATGTAATTATGGCTGGAATCCATCCCTCCATGGCAGACAAGGATGGGGAATGACATTTGGGAGAACACAGCCCACTGACACGTGGTCTAGATTTTTAAGCTCTCTGTCCTAACAGGCTATTGGTCCATTCTATCAAATATCTGGAGTTAGTGATTTTTCACACTCCATTTCCAGACAGCCACAAAAGCTGGCTCTAGATTTAAAATACTGAGAACAATACAAATGTACTTACGGAAGCTCAGCAAGGCTTTCATATCCTCCCAAACTCTCAGCCAGAGTAAATAACTGTAATAGAGAAAACATACAGTTAGACCTTACAGTAAAATAAGAACACTAAAATCTACAAGTGAATGTTCTTAATGAAATCATCCTGGCACAGAGGGGACGGAGAATAGCAGTGATTATGAATAAACTATATATTGGGCAAGAAGCTCAAAGAAAAAAATGAGTATAAAATTTGTAGCAATGATTTTACCAATTAGACAAATTAAGTATTTTTGTTTGTTTGTTTGTTTTGTTATGGGGGGGGCAAACTCAGGACCTTGCGCTTCTGAGGTGGGCGATGGCACCACTGAGCTAAATCCCCAGCCCTCGTGTAAACTTTTAAAACAGCAAATGAGGGAACAGAATGAGTCTCCTATACCATCCTAATTTGGCTCTGTATTTAGGTAGTATTCAACATGAGCTCTAAAACTTCAAAATAAATTTTTTATTATTTGTTTATTTTGAGACAGGATCTTGCTGTGTAGTTCAGGCTGGCTTCAGACATGTAGCAATCTTCCTGCCTCAGCTTCCCGAGTGCTGGGATGACAGGTGTGTGCCACCATGCCTGGCTCTGGTCAGCTCTCTGCTTCCTGGCTGGTGCTGCCATCTTCCACATGAGATACCACTGGCCAAGACTCCCTCACCAGAGGCCAAAGCCCTGGGGCCACCTAATCTTAGACTTCCAGCCTCCAAAACTGTAAGCCAAATACACCTTCTCTTATAAAGTACTCTGCCTCACGTGTTTCATGATAGCCGTAATACACCTAACCTCAGGTATTTTGCTATAGCAATACAAAACAATGATATGTCATAGTGTTAAATAATTTTACAAAAAAAAAAATGGGCTGGGTGTTGTGATGCTCACCTGTAATCCCAGCACTTTGGGAGGCTGAGGCAGGAGGATCACCAGGAGTTCAAGGCCAGCCTGGGCTATCTAGTGAGACCCTGTTTTTTAAAAAATTTTTGTTTTTGAGGAAAGGGTCTTGATATGTTGCTAAGTAAGACTGGCCTCAAATTCATGAACTCAAGTGATCCTCCCGCTTCAGCCTCCCAAGTAGCTAGGGCGACAAGGTATGCACCACCCTGTCTGGTTTAATTTTACAAATATTTCTGAAACTGCTCTCTAGTACTAAGCACTATCTTTCTAAATTTAGACGCAGACAGGTGTGAGGTGCCCGGAGGACCCTAACCTGAACTCTCCAAGCTGCTCCTTGAGATCAAGGGGAGCACTGTGTGAGTCCTGAGAGCTTCTGAGAGCTCCTCCCCTTTGGGAAAAGCAGACAAAGGCACCTCATCCCGGGCAGGGAGCCCCTGGAAGGCTGCGCTCTGCACAGCGCCCTCTGTGGACAATCCCTGCTCGCTAGTGAGAAAACGAAAACCTCAGCCTCGGTAACGCTCAGCTAGTGTCCTGCAAGAGGAGCAAACTTTTCTACTGAACTTTAACTGGACGCAAAGTGAAGTCCCACAGCCTGAGCGGCGCAGGGCGGTGCTTGCAACCCAGCCATCCCTTCCCTGCTGGCTCCGGGGTGCTTGGCGATGGAGGAGAAAAGGCAGAGGAAGCCCTGGGCTTGAACTCATGGCCTTGAGTTTGCCAGGTGGGCGTGGCACCACTGAGCTATTATCCCGGCCCCTATTTTTCTTTCTATTTTGTATTTTCTTGATTATTTTCTTACATTACAGTATTGTAATCATTTTTATTTTGGGGGTTGTGGGACGAATCATTTGAGTTTCCATTATTTCTAATGGGGAAATTCACTTTGATACAGAAATGCTTTGGGTTAAAGCGTGGCTTCTGGAACAAACTATGCTCACAAATAAAGGTTTTAAGGTATTTCATTTGAAAAAAAGTTTACTTTTAAATCAATTTGAAAATCAATGCATTAGAAGATTCTATCCCCGAAAGGCATGGTGGTGCACGCCTATAATCCCAGCACTTGGGAGGCTGAGGCAGGAGGATTGCCTGAAGCTCAAGGCCAGCCTGGGCTACATAACAAGACCCTGTCTCTAAAATAAAAAGAACATTCTGTCCTCTGACTGGTTGGAAGGTGTCCAAAGTCAGACAAAAGGACACATTCAGATGTCTGCTACTAAAGCCACTGTCATTACCTCATTTTCAACCCAGTGAGTTTCGTGGTGAGGAGGCCACAGTGGGACCTTCAGGTGCAGAAACCCAGTGAGAGGGAGCAGCTGGGAGGGAGTTTACCTTCAGGTGCTGCAGGAAGGTCTCCGCGTGCTGAAGGGAGCCCTTGATGTAGAAGGTAACCATTCCCGGGCAGCCTGCACACTGCCGCCTGGCCAGCTCGTGCTGTGGGTGAGAGGGCAGCCCTGCAATCGCAAGGCGGACAGTCTGTTAGAGCCCCGGGCACAGCTTCGGGCCACTGCAGGACACCAGAAGTGAGCCTGATGAGGAGGCCTGAGCTGTGTCCTCCCTGACCACGGTGCTGGCCTCGGCCACCTCTCCGGCTTCGTGCACACGGGTTTCCACCCTCTCTGTGGCCCACCATGCAGCATTCTTCACCCCAGCAACACCTCTCTGCCTTTCATTGCAGGACCTTTGCACGTGCTCTCACCTCACCAGGCTCCTCTGTTACTTGCATCTTTCTGTAATTCCCTGCTTAAACCAGGTGTGATCGAAAACAAAGGGGAAAAAAATAAAATAAAATAACTTTTAAAAAAGAAAACAATAGGGGAGTGTTTAAATGTTTTAAGTTTACTACAGTAAGACTCATGGCCATGAAGCTCCTTCAGAATCCTTCCCCTCCTTTGAGCACAGTCGGCCCATTACCTCGCCAATTCCTGCGGCAGCTCTGGAGTCCTCTCTCCTGAGGGTCTTTAGCTGCGCTGTCCCGGCTGCCTCACGTCCTGAACCCATTCAAAACGTTTCCCTTTCCTGGTCACCCTGACTTTGGGGAGGAGCCGGAAGCCACCTTCCATGGTGCCAGATCCAGTGAGTAAAGTGGACAAGGACACTGCAGCAAGTTTTTCTGACCCTGTCTTTCTGTGGTACAGTGCTCGGCAGCAGCAATCACTGAATTTTTTAAAGTCATACCTTGTAAAGACCCTCAGAAAACAGCACTCCAGAGCTGCTGCAGGAAGTGGCGAGGGTGATGGGATGAGTATGGTTAAAGCAGGGAGGAGGATTCTGAGAGCGTTTAATGGCGATGTGTATTTAATCGCAATACACTTTTTACAATGTAAACATCCACTCTGTATATTTCAATCACAGTTTGTCTTACCCACTCCGTGGATAATCCCTGTCCACTCCTGTCTTTTCTTACTTCTTAAGGGTAAATCTATTTCTTCTGTTAAAGCTGGACCTCTGGGGCAGCGAGTTAGCTCAGTGGCACTGCATCTGCCTTGCAAACACATGGTCCTGAGTCCAATCCCCGGTACAAAAACAAAGAAAACTGGATCTCATTCCTAGCTCAACTCCTGACCTATACCTGGTAATTAATAAACATTTGTTACCCAGCATGGTAGTGAGCTATAATCCCACCACTCAGGAGGCTGAGGCAGGAGGATCCCTGTGAATGTGAGGCCACCCTGGGCTCTATATGAGCTGAACTACAGTACACAGCAAGACCTCGTCTCGAAGAAAAAGGTATTGTTGGACGAATGTGTAGCCCCCGGGCCTCTGGTCTCTGACAGATGTGACGGCTGCTACCCATTCTTCTGGGTACAGCTCCAGGCCCTTCCCTCCAACCACCCAGGGCGGACCCCAGCCAACAGCCCCCACCAGACAGCACACGACTTCAGTGACCTCGATGGCAGAGCTGTAACGCTCCCCGAGACTACACGGCTAGATACCTCAAAAGGACCTTTAGAAACCTGCCAGCCTCCAATCACCGCAGCTTAAAGCCTGGAACCATAAATCAACAAGGTAACACGAGGTCCCAAGACAAAGTAAGAGAGGTGGGGGAATCGGGGCAGGTAAGTGCCAAGTCTAGTGAGCACCGGCTCTGGGGTTAAGACAGAGCGGGTGGGGAACAGCAGAGTAACAGGATTACAAACAAAGCAACTGAAAAGTGCAAAGGTGGTGACCTCGCCACAGGTGTACAGAAGCCTGAAAGCTAAAGACCAGATAGAACGACAGAGTGCGTAGTAAGATGAGTTTCTGACTCCAAGCGTCCACTGGGCCAAAGACCATGTCTGTCTACTCCCACCATCCTCCCACAGCGCCACTCAGTGGCTATGATAATAAATAGACCAGTGGGGCCGGGAGCGCACTTCTGTATTCCCCGCACTCTGGGAGGCTGAGGCAGGAGGATTACAAGTTCTAGCTCAGCCTGGGCAGTTTATAGACTTAGCAAGATCCTATCTCAAAATAAATTTTTTTTAAAAATGTAAAAGAGCTGGAAATGTAGCTTAGTGCAAAGGCCCCTGGTTCTGTCACCACTAAGAAAAATAACAAACGAGCAAACATATAACTTAACAAATGAATGTCACGTGAACAGGGAGCACTGGATGACCCTTAAAGTCCTACTGTAAGTGTAGCTGCTTAGAAATCAAATCAACTAGCCAGGCGCACGCCTGTAATCCCGGTACTCTGAAGGCTGAGGCAGGAGGATCGGCACAAATTCCAGGCCAGCCTGTGCTACGTAGTGAGACCCTGTGTCAAAAAGAAAGAAAAGAAGAGAAAAGGAAAGGAAATCACATCAACATACCAGGATAAATAACTTTTTCTACCCGTGGATTGGATTCCAAGAAGCGGGCCACAGCCATTCCGTTTTGGAAATGCTTCTCCATGCGAATCTGCAGGGTCTTGAGGCCTCGAAGGCACAGGTAACAGTCGAGAGGGGAGGGCACCGTCCCCAGAGCTGCAAAGGGAACACATCTTGGCTTGGCTGGGCCTCCCGGGTGGGTTATCTTCTGGCCCCTCCTTAACCAGGTGACTTGGGAAGCCAGCTCCAGAGCGCTGAGGGGAGGTTTACAGGGAAACTGCTGTATCAAATAGGGGGCAGGAAAAGGAAGCAGGAAAGGTGCTTGCAAATAAGAGGGGGCCAGGCATGGTGGAGCACACCTGTCATCCCAGCACTCGGGAGGATGAGGCAGGAGGATCCTCGTGAGTTCAAGGCCAGCCTAAACTGCAAAGCAAGACCTTGGCTCAAAAAAAAAAAGAAAAGAAAAAAATAAGGTGGTGGGATGAATCTCCTGTAAACTAACCAAAAACACTAAAGTATGAACTTTTCAACTATGAATATAAATAGTCCTCTGTTTAATATTGTAGTGTTTTTTGTTTGTTTTTGGAAACAGGGTTCTCTCTAGGAGGTTCGGGCTGGCCTTTCACTGTGTAGCCCAGACTGGCCTCAAATTCAGGCAGTCCTCCTGCCTCAGCCTCCTCAGTGCTGGGATTATATACATGCGCCATTGTTTTAACACTTACTATTTTGCAGGAAACGGAGTCTGTCATGGAGATCTTCAGAACTCACCGACACTAAGCCCATCACCACATCACTGTGCCCTACAGCAAAACGAAACCATGTAGGGGAAAAACAATTTCTGTTTGGTCTTCACTTTATCATTTCTAAAATGTAACTCCTTTGCAAA